GATAGATAGATAGATAGATAGATAGATAGATAGATAGATAGATAAAATAAAAATACTGATGTGGTAGTCATATGATTTTATGTCAACTAGACACTCCTGGTTTGGGGCGGAGTCAACCCTGTGGTCAATCAGGTCACAGCCTGATGCTGTCCCCTTGGGGTCAAGGCCTTCTCATAAGGAAGAGCCCTCTCCTCCTTCACCTTCCTACCCGCTGGCCTCTGTGGGGGCTGCTGGGAGCCCTGCCATCTTTCCACCGACCTTGGTTCACCCACTGGTCTGTGACTTTCCTGCATTCTGTATCACTGCGTGTAGCTGCTTGAGTCTGAAGAAGGACTTATGAACTACTGTCAGACTTATGGATAGGGCTGTGATGCTTTCCTGATATGTAATTACTTCTTGATTTAAAGTTCTTTTATAGATAGCTAGATAGATGATAGATGATAGATAGATAGATAGATAGATAGACAGATAGATGATAGATGATAGGTAGATAGATGGATAGACAGATAGATAGATAGATATAGATAAATATACATACGTACATACATACATATATATGCCACTAGATTTGTTTTTCTAGTCAACCTGACCTAAGCAACATCCATAGATAACATTCTTAAGGATTACCCATTCAGTTACTTTCTTGACTAAAAACAATAACCACCGAAGGAACCAACTTTAAATAAACCAAAAACCAAGCTCGTTGTCATTGAGGCAACGCTGATTCACAGTGACCCCGTGGGTTTCTGAGACTATAACTATTGACTGGAGTAGAAAGGTCAGTCTTCTCCTTGAGGAGCGGCTGGTGGTTTCAAACTGCCAACTCTGTGGATCATAGCCCAAAGTATAACCACGACACCACGAGGGGATATTGTATAAAAGTATCTAAAATTGAAAGTTGAAATGCTGATTCTTTTTTTTTTTTTCAACACCTGGTAAATAACTGTAGAAGATGGAAGCCTTCCTAATGGAACATACCAATGTGGTTTACGGTTTGTGTGAGAAGGGAAACCCCATGCAAAGGCTGATCTCACTGCCATTGCATCTAATCTGACTTACAGTGACCCCGGGGGATGAGTTGAACGGCCCCTGTGGGAGTACGAGGCTGGACATCTTTATGAGAGTAGAAAGCCTCATCTTTCTCTCACAAAGCACTTGATGGGTTCGAACTCCTAACTGAGGAGTTGGCCACCCGATGCACAACCCATTACCCAAGGCTGGGTTACGGCACAGCCTTGGTTTTCTGATCCCAGTAGAAGACGGATACCTTTTTTTTAAAGAGTTAAAGTTATACAGATTTAACTTTTAATTAAATAATATACATTTTAAACTTTCTACAGGTAGAAACCATTAAGCATTAAATAGGTTTTAGCAAGAAATTGGAAGAACACGATTACTGATGGTTTTTAAACTGGGCTACAATTTTATCTGAAGGCTCATTTCATCCATGAGGGGGCTTATGTACTTTCTGGTGTTTTTCTCCGACTCTGGGGACCTACATGAAAATGGAAGATGGTACTTTTTCTTCCAATCTTCTAACAGTAGAGGCACAAAATTTATTCATTTGGCATCCTATCTTAAACACACAGACAAATTGAGGGCATGCCAGCAAAGGAGAACCCATTTGTTAGAATCACAATTCATAACGAAATAAGATACTTTAAAAATGCCAAGGTTTAGATAACCAGAATAAGTCCTTTATTATTTTTTTTCAAAGCAGCAATTAAGTTAAAGACAAATTAGAGGTAGAGAAGAATCCTATCTTGCATGATAGAAGTCAGAATTAAAGACTATCACTGCGATACGTTTGAATTCCTCCTTATCATGGTCTTCTGCTTGCTAACGCTCTTGGAAGATGTGTGACGAGGAACTGTCAGAGAAGGCATTAAAGACTCTCAGTGCTTCCCACATTCTCATGCAAAAGGAGGCGAGCTAGAGATTACCTGGAAATCTTCTAATTATTTGGCATAATCCTTCCTTTCTGCATAGCTGATGCTGTAAGTCTGGTAAGGTATTTACCTGGAAAGAATGTAAAAGATGCTACAGTTAGGCATATATAAATGCTGAAACAAAGAAAAGGCAAAAAAAACCCCAGAGGACAAATACAAGGGGACTTTGGAAAGTTCGTGGAAACAATCGTTTCCCACAAGCCTTTTGAAGCCTCCTTGTCTTTTCCACATTATCTACCCCAGGAGGAGCTGTGGGAAAAGTATCAGATCAAAACCACGAGCTTCTCCCAGGAAAAAGATGAAGTCTGGCTGCTCCTGTGAGGAGTCCTGGCGGAGTACAGGGGCTGCTCACTGCAAGGTTAGCAGTACTAGCCCCCCATCTGCTCTGTGGGAAGAAGAGGAGGCTTCTTGTTCCCATGCAGATTTACAGCCTTGGAACCCCCAGGGGCAGCCTACTCTGCCCTCCATGGCCGTTAGGTGTCAGAATGGACTTGATGGCAGTGAGGGTGACCTTGGTTGGTACCCAGTCACTGGGCGGAAGTTCCAAAGTCTATGAATAGTGGAGCCAAACCAAGCAATTTCAGTTCACCACAATAAGAAATAGCACTAGCATACCTATACGTCAACTCCACTCCAAAGCCACAAACGCCCACAGTGGTGTGTAACCTGGTAGATAGTTAGTGAAAATTAGTGCTAAATCTGTCTGAAAATGTCACATATACCCTTCCCTTCATACTAAAGTACTACAGACACACACACACACACACACACAACTCAGTTACTGCACTACTCTATTTTAACCAAACTTTGTTCTTAACTTTCTAACATCATTATCATCATAAATTCAAATGTTTTTATTATATAGGGGGAAGGATACCAAAGAACACAATATTCTCCTCTTCTTATAAACTTCTATTTTGGTTTGGTAGTTGCAATCAACTACACTGCAGAAAGGAAACTAAATATGGTAAAGCCAGGGGAAAAATAACAGAAAGAGATCAGTGTGAATTAGTTTGCAAATTAGATTAGCTTTAATGACATGATAGGTTTCTTCAAATGAGCTCACTCTTGATAAATAAAACCGTGCACTCTCTCCAAGAGGCCTCCTGTCGAAGCTAAGGACAAAGAATGGAACTGCAGTGGGGAGAAGAGCAGAAACCAGAACCATGGACTGTGGGCCCACTTCTAGAATGTAATAGAAAGGTAGCATGGCGCCCAACAGGTTGCTTCCCTTTGCTCCTTTGTAAAAGAAAGCACTCAGAGACATTGGTCTTCAAGGTCCACCTTCAAGGCTTTATAAATTCAATCACAATTGGTCGTTTAGAAAGGTGATTTGTTTGAAATGCTTTTCACATGTATGGATTAAACATTCTCCCACCTTTATAATTTCATTAGCTCTACTTAGTTTTTAGTAAACTTTCTCTCTGCTGAAACAAGGACACACTTCAGCCAGGTCCTGTCTGAGAAAAGCCTGGCTTCAAGGAACCTACTCTTGGGATTCTGCACTAGATACACCACGTTGACAGCCTACGAGGTGCAAAAGTCTAAGATGCTCACCTCCTTCTGCCCTGGGAAGTGAGAAAAGGCTAGGCAGAGAGGATACTTCAGACCTGAGGGACAGCTTGTTGTTGGAGGCCGTCACGTGGATTTCAACTCTTCCCAAGCATAGAGGAGATATGCTTCCTATAGTTTTCTAGGCTACAATCTTTACAGCCAGGGCTTCTTCCCAGCACAGAGGCCGGTGGGCTCAAACAGCCATCCTTGCAGGGAGCAGCCAAGTGCATTGCCATTAGGAGCTTCTACGTTGCTCAAAATCAAAAGAGAGAAAAGTTGATTAATGAAATAGAAGACAAGAAGATGGGTGAGTTAGCTAAAGTTTATTGTGCCAACCTGGCCTATAAACACATGTGGGATTAATTGAAGGTCAGGGTGACAAATGGCTCAGTGAGCCTCGCCTTTCTAGTTCTCGGGTCTCTTGCTTTCTGATGGTCAGACCAGGGTGCAGTTGTCTTAGCCAGTTCCCTGCTTCAGCTGGCAAGGCTCACTTCCTGCAAGACATTCCCAAGGAGAAGCCGCATGGACCTACCCTGATGCAGCCCTGGGTGCTGGAGCAGCTGTGTGGAGACCTCTGCCAGCGCTGAGATGCTTACATGCTCACTGACTTGGCTTTCCTCCTGCAGTTGGCATCATTCCTTGTCTTTTGTGAGATGGAGGAAGACTTTGTGGATTGGTGTTGGACATCTGGACTAATGTTGGACTTGTGGGCTTAGGCAGCACTGGGTTCAGATGATTTCTTGATGTGCACTCACCCTTTATATAAAACTCTCTCTTATACATATATGCTTCTGTGGATTTGTTTCTCTAATGCACCCAGATAAACACAATGGGCTTGCATGAGACCCTGAAGTTTTCAACTCAGAATTCCTGAGAAAGGCATTAGGACAAGGGCAGACCATTGCAAAAGTGCCCAGAACATGCAAGAGTCATTTTCTTCTTTGAGAAAAGCTTCAAAAGGCAATAAAATGGAGAATTTCCCTCCCTGAAGCAAAAGCCACTGCTTTTGTCTAGACTTGGTGGACTCTAGACAATAATCCAGATTAAAGGCTCTATTGTTTCAGCTCCCGCATGCTGCTCTCACAGAAAGAGCTCAAACAGAAAATGATTTTCTCAAGCTGAGGAGGCTATCAGCCCAAAGTCAAGGTACCAGCTCTTGAGGAAGCCTTTCTCCCTTGGTGGGCTCCGGATGAAAGGTCCTTTGGAGTTTCACCCCTGGGTGATCTTCAGGTGACTTTGCATCTCTCTTCCCCATTTCTGCTCTGCTCGCTTGTTTGAATTTTTTCCTGCCTCAAAAGAACTTGACTCAAAATACAGTGGACACTCACCCGGCCTCATTAACCTACCACCACAGACAACTCATCCCCAGATGGGATGATAAGCACAGGCCTACATCAAGCCAACCGCATAGCCATCAGGTCAGCTCATCATTCAGACCCTGCAGGACACAGCAGACCTGCCTGTCCGCGTTTCCGAAGCTGCACTTTTCACAGAAGCACACTCTCACCTCTTTCTCCCACGGTCCTGCTGGTGGGTTTTGAACTGCCAACCTTTTCATTAGTAGTTGAGCACTGAATCACTGGCCCGCCAAGGTCAGAGGTGAGGATTTCCAACACATGTCTTGGGGGTGGAAGCCTCCATAGGCACAGTGGGCGAAAGAGGCACCAGTCTGATTCTGTAAATACAGCCTGTGAGTCTGCCCTCTCGATCCAATAGTGTCGCGAGGATACAGAATTGACTTCACAACTTGACAGCAATGGGTTTGGTTTTATTTTTGGCTTATTTGTTTTCTACAAATCACCTATTATACTTGAGAGGGAAGAAGATGATAGGATAAAAATTCAACCCATGACATCCCACTCTTGGGCTTTCCAGAATTCATGTTGTTGTACCCACATGCAAAAGTCTTAAGTCCACTTCAAGTAGAAAATTTCATATTCTGAAGCACCAATATCAAATGCCAATGAGATGTTAGACACATTCTCTCCAGAAACAACATCTCTCTTTATCTCTTTGAAATCTAGTTGGCATGTTATCAGCTGCCGAAGTACAGTGGTGGATCAGGTACAAGGGAGAAATGCCCATTGCTAAATTGGAGGGAAGGCCAAGGTAACAGGTCCCAAGCAAGTCCAAAGCCCAGCAGAGCAAGTGATACAAGCTGCCGAGGCTTGAAAATGAGATGCTCTTCTCTGAGACCATATGGCCCTGGTCTCCATACTCTGAGATGGTGACCACGTTCCCTGGATTCCGGGTGGAGGCCCCTAGATCCTGGTTCAGTTGGCAACTGTGACCCACTGGTTTGAGTGGTGACCCCACCCTTCAGCCCCAGCAGGCCTGGTTCTTCTACCCTTTGGGTGTGGCAGCAACCCCACCCCACCCCCACCTTTGGCTAGCAGCCTCCTCGCTGTGGCACTCAACAAGGACAGCCCCAGACACTGGGACTGAGTTGGTGCCAATGCGACTCAGGTCTAAGAGGCCTTGATGCTGTGTTTTTAAGTCTCTGCATTCCCTATTTTCCTCGCTTCTTCCAGCAGTTCCACTGGTCTCCACGGTGCTCCCGGGATGGTCCTTTGGGAGGCCAGCAGATGTAGCTCTTCGGGCCTGTCTGCTGCCTGTCGAATTCTGAGAGGCAGCCAGCATTCTCGCCTGCCGTTCAACCTTCTCCAGCCCCTTCAGCCTACGCTGAAGCGTTTTCTGCTGCCGGGTGTCGGTTAGACCGATCAGTCACAGGCTTAGTTTCTTTAACAGAAGATGTTTAGCCACATCCTTGGTGAAAATTCTAGGACACATGACCTTCGTTTGTGCCACACAGTTTCCCAAGCGTTTTGCTTTCAGTTTGCGCGATTCGTTTTACGACCATCTCTTTCCTCCAACATTCTATTACAAGCAGCAAAGCGAAACCACATGGCCCCTTTAAGATCTTACTTAGAAATCTCCTCCGCTAAAATATCCAAGTTCATTACTTACAAGATACAACACCAGCCACAGGCAGAGGTTAGGATTTACAACACCTCATTGGCAGGTGTGTGTGTGTGTGTGTGTGTGTGTGTGTGTGTGTGTG